ACACACTGAGGCCCATGCCACCTTCTTCCTTTCTGATGTTATCAGGAGCTATCTTTCTCTTCCTGGTTCAGGCAACAAGCCTCCTGATGACATGATACCAGCCCTGCCATCCTCCACCCACTCTCTGTAGGCTGATACCTCCTGGGATATCTAATGTGAATATCCCACAGAGCTGCTAGTGCAGGGTACACTTTATTCTCATCTAAGCAAATATCAAGGGAGTTGCAAAGGCCAAAAATAAAATAAAAAAAGGTTGAAAAAAGTGTGCTTTTATAATTGTGGAGAGTGCATGGTTCAAGATACAAAGTGCTTTAGGGGAGTAAAGGTCAGCTTTAAGCAAACAAACAAGAGCATGGATATGGTATGATGACACTGCAGGCTCCCATTAGCAGCAAGGAAGATGGAGGCTCTGGTCTTGTAGGAGTTCACAGCATCTAGAGCAGATGAGCTGATTTTCAAAAAGGGGGGCATACTAAAGCCCTGATAAAGGGGGAGAGTCTACACCCCTGGAACAGGTTGGCTGCCTTCTTCCACTTTAACCTGAATTAATTAAAATCTTCTTTGGACTTTATGACCAATGATGTGGCACTTTTACCGCATATATCACATTTTGGTACAGCTTGAGATCCAGATCAATGCTTGTCTCTGGAATAGAATCAATCAATGTCTGGGCAGTCCAATCTCGAAGATGCCAGAGCAAACTGTGACATGTAGTTCCACCAAGTTAGAAATCCACTCGCTGTCCTATGCTTGATCTCCTCTCTATGAATGGAGTTTGACCATCATGTCTCTGTGTACGGATTCTATTGCGGCCCGTAGCCTGCGATCTGGTTCAGCACCGCGGACAGCTCCCTGTATTCCCATTCACTCTGTAGGGCTCAGTGCTGGATAGCTCCGCTCAGTGCTGAACATCTCTGTGACATATCTGCACCTGTCCTAACAGTGTACTCTACTCACTATCTGATTGCCTTGTGCACAGTTATACAGTCACTGCAACCTAGTATTTTATATGGTGGTGGCCATAGAAAGATACACTCAGCAACCCCCCGCCCCCCAAGTGCTTCTGTAGTAACACGTTGCAGACCTTTGCTGGACAGCCTATCACACGTGTGTGCTTCTTCCTACATGGTGGTCTAGACTTGTTACTGTGCTTGCCTTGTGCTCAGTTATTCAGTCGCTTTCAAACCCCCCAACACCCCCCCCC